TTGTAGGGGACTCGTGATAACTTTGAATTAATGAGAGGTTCGAAATAACGCAGGTTTGAAATAACAACAGTCGACTGTATATTAATATATCAACATAAATGCTTAAAGCTTTTTTGCTATCAAATCCTCTTTAAATTGGTCTTTAATATATTGTTATTTCCCATTTGAGTGTAGAAGATTAAATAAGTTTTATAAATGAACTTACCGCTCAACTCCCGTGAACCTGGGATGACGATGCTTGCGCGACATCAACAATCCACCGCCCCAAGCAGCCTGGGGATGGAATGGAATTTATATATGTAGGCTCCGTTATCAGCCCTCTTCGATATTCAGTGGCTACTCACATCGATGTGCATCCAGCAGTTGTATTTCTGGCAGATATCGGCGATGGTATTGATATCATCGAATGCACCCAGCACAGTTGTGCCAGCCGTGGCGTTGACAAAGAACGGAATGTCGCCTTTGGCCTTGCGCTCCAGTATTAGGCGCTCCAGCTCGGAGGTGATCATCCTGCCGTGCTCGTCGGATGGCACCACGATGCAGTGGTCGGTGCCGAGCCCGCAGACGGCAGCGCAAGACTTGATCGAATAATGGCATTGGTCCGATGTGAACATGACCAAGGTGCCCGGCAAGCCAACCGAACCGTGCTCCTTGTAGTTGGGGAACATCTTGTGGCGAGCGGCCAAGAAGGCATACAAATTGGAAATGGAGCCACCGGGCGCCAGGATCGAGTCTCCGCCGGACCAGCCGATTATCTCACGCATTTTGGTGAGCACCACGTTCTCCATGAGTATGAACACCGGGGCTATCTCGTATGTGAACATGTTCGTGTTGGCAGTGGCGGTCAACCATTCGCCAGCCATGGAGATCAGATCCAAGCCGTTCGACAGCTGATTGAAGAAGTGGGGATGGCCTGTGGAGCAGAAATTCGAGTTGCTTGTTTAATGTAGCTGAAAATGCCTTCCGTCTTCCGCATTCCGTCTTCCATCTGCAATCTATTTTGTAATGCGTATTTCGCCATGGCTGTCTGTCAACTGGAGCTGGTTAAGCTGACAGCAGATGTGCCTGGCAGCTGTGTTGCCATCTTTCATGCTACAATTTTTTGTTTTATTAAAAATGTTTCGGCTGAAACAAAGCAACAGCCGGCTGGCGACCCGAGCACCAACACGGCTGACTGGCGTTCAATACAAGGCCGGATGTGCATGCGTTCAAGGGCAGACGAGGCCGACAAACATTGTTGACGGTCTGTTCGGGGTCAGAAAAATCAATGGAGCCCAGTTCTTAAAGCGCTAGGCCTGTCTATTGTTAGTCAAACAGGGAATTTACGTGTGTGTGGGTGAGTCTTAAATTGTTCATTTATTGCAGCTAATTGCGACTTGCTGCGACTCCACTGAAATCCCACAAAAAATCACAAAATGCTTTCAGTACAAACAGCGGGCAGGAGCATCAGGAAGCTGTCGAAAGTCCCCTCGCTAAATGTCCTGCGAACCCTTCGTGTGCGTCGCTCTGGGCGTCTGTCAGTTCACATCTTGAGTGCCATAAGTCGTGTGATTAAAATCCCATTCGCCACAAGGCTAAATCCGTCCGCCCAGACTCTCCCACACACTCTCACACACACATACATACACAGACAGTGTAGAAAAGCGCTGGCATCCAAACATTTCAATTTACGAATGTGGCCTGAGTTGCTGGCAGGAACGAGGACTCTTCGATTCACAGGACTTGAATCACCCTCGACCTAGACACGAGCTTGGGACTGCCTTGCAGAGCGTCAGGCAGTCAGTCATTCACTCGCATCAAAGGATCAGGAATGCAGCGAGTCAGAAAATAACAACGGATTTTGATTAAAGCTCCCCTTTTTATAGAGTCGTCCACAAGCGAGAGACAGACAGAAAGCCTCCCGGCTCTCGTGCCTGACATATCATGTTTTCCCTGTGATGGGGTGTGCATTATGTGAGATTATGGATCATAAATGGGATTTATATAATGCTAGTTTGGCCAGAAGGGAAATTCCGTCAAAGAAAAATGCGAAAATATGTGAAATTTTAACACATTCAATCTGTATGTAGTTTGTAAAATGAAAGTTATCATATAAAAGATATTTCCAATTTAATATGATAATTATTTGAAGCCCTTCAATAATTATTATATATTTTTCATCTACCATATTAAAATGTCTGGCAATTTTTACTGGAAACTATCCCAAGCTTACTTCAATATTTGGGCCACAATCTATTCGTAATTCCCTTCAAATATAATCAAAACTTTGTTTATGCAGCTTCTGCCTGATTACATTGTTATTTCAGTCTAGTTTTAACTCAATTTTGAGAACAGTAGAAGCCAAAAACCGAGACAGCATTGCTTCCTGTTCCAACAAGCCGGTGTAATTTCCTTCTATCGCCCACTGGGCGAGGTGGACGGAAGCTCACGCAGTTTCCTAGACAAGGCCGCAGCATCCGGGGTTGGGCGGTGCTTATTATCGATACTCCAAGCAGAATTGCGGTCACGTGCGCGCCCCGCCGTTGTCCGCCCCTTGCATTAATTTTCAATGAAATCAGGCGAGTATTCACATTCAATGAAAAACTAGAGAACGAAGCTTTTGAGAATGCCGAACTAGAATACACCCTGTCTATAACTTCTATATAACTATTAAAAATATAATGTTATCTTCGTATAAATCCTTAATCCATATGAGTCTCAGAGTTTTGTTACATATTTCCTTCATATGAAATTTCATATAATAAATTTATATGTTTAATATTTAAGACTCCAATGCTTAACAGTTAAAATTTGCAGCAATAGAACTCTAATCTAGTTTATGAAATGAAGAAGCATATTCACAATTCATAATCCTACGACTTCAATAAAAAAAACTTGATAAACAAAATCAGAATACCTTTTTGTTTAATTTTCAATGGGCATCGTATATAAAAACCAACATAAAACGTGCGAATGACTTTTGGCTGCTAAAGCCGCATTTAGAACCCTTTTGGCTGATTTATGATTGATGGCAACTCAGTTTTTCAGATTCAAGTCCACTTTGAATGGGGTCGGACGAGTGTTTTTGAAAGGTGTAAACAACTGGGACGAGCACAGCTCAATGGGCCATAAAATGGCATTGTCTGTTGCGATGTCCTCAAAGCTAATGTGCTTATCTACTAGGCTGCACACTTTGTGCCCTAATGCGACCGCAAGTTGTTCGGGCACGCGCCCTGCTGAGCATATGCTTGGTGTTTGCGGCGCATGCAAATTTGTGCAGAGACAAATTTGATTAACGCCGAGTGGCTGACTGAGTAAACATATGATAAGCTACCCCTGGGAAGGCCCAGCTCAGTCCCATCTATGCCTATCCCCTGGCACTCACCTGTCTTCACCTGATACTTAAGCGTCGTGGCGCAGTCCTCAATCAGCTGCTGCAGCGGCAGCGCCCGATCCGGCACATCCAAGTCGAGCAGACGCTTCATATCCTCCGGGTGATGAAAGTCCAGCACCTTCTCATTTCGATCATTGGTTGCCTTCACGAAGTCCAACAGCACGTCGATTACTTTCAACAGAAATTCACGAGTCTCTGCTCCAGCGGTGACTGTCGTGGGCAAGAGATCTGGATAAAAAGATGAAAAAATCCGTATTGTCAGTGGAGATGAAGCACTGCTTCTGCCTCAGCCGCTTATATATATCTCCCCCTCTCTCTCTCTCTCTTTTACCCTTGGCTTCTATCTTCATCTCTTATCGTTAGGCATAAAAAAAGGTGGCGCGTGCGCTGCTGCTGACAGCGAAAATGGCTTTTTGCCTTATCTAGCCGCTGCGCCTTGTTATGATATATGATTATTATTGTGATGATGATTTGTGGGCGGGCATTATTTGAAATTGAAACGGCTGAGCCATAAAAAACAGATTTCACATTTACATCTAGTACTTGTACAGAATATAATATAAGAGTTTATAACTTCTGACTTACATTTGAAATCAAATTAAAAGTTATTGAATGCAAAACATCTGTGTGTGGCATATATTCGCTATAAAATATAAATGCTGAAGGTGTTAATAATACCCAATGCCTCCCTGGATTATTTCGTGCGAAGTGCGATATATATACTCTATATTTATTTATATTTTATTTTATGTACAAAATATACAATATTAAGTTTTTTCCTGTTGCTGACATCTCACAAGAAATAATAGACTAACGATCGAAGGTCCAATTTCCAATTTCGATGTCAATCTACCGAGCTTAGCTACAATAGGTTTTAATATATCAACAAATCCATATTGTTAGCGATGAAAATCCTTATCGAAAAATTGTTATCAAATTGTTATCATCCTTAGGTGCATGTTTAGTTCAAAAGATTTCGATTGTTATATAATATTATAATAATAAATTATATCTCCTAGAACTACAGCTAAAGTCTAGCTTAAGAGTATTTCAGCTAAGTATTTCCTGCAAGTATGTCCTATTTTCTTCATAGCATTTCCTGTGTTTTCTCTGAGTGTTTCCTAATTCCTAAAAGTCTTTAATGCTTAGCTGGAAGATTACACTCTTCACTTCTCTTTTTAGCGCATGTGCATGACTGACCCCCTCCCCGCAGGGCTGACTGAGGACTGAAAAAATGCTGTAGGTGCAGACGTTTATATAGGAAATCTTTCACTAAAGTGACCAATCATAGCACTCTCCTCTGCTGCAAGTATTTCACCTTCGTTTTACTCAAATATAAAAACCAAATGAATACTTTTGTATGCATATATACAGCTCATATGATCCCTGTAAGGCAGACAGAGATACAGACAGACAGATAGACAGGTATACAGACAGAGAGACAGAGAGAGAAATTGGCATTCCTTATTAAATTTGTATGCATGTATGTTTATGTAAGTATGTGTGTATGTATGTTTGTATATATGTATGTATATATTTATAAATTTTTATATTAAAGCTAAAATAGTCTCTATATTTCATGAATGATATTTTCAAGCTATTCTTTTTCTACTAGAACATTATTAAAACCTTATTTGATTATTTGTCATATAATAACCATTTGTTCTTGGCTTACAGCCATATGCTGCCCAAGCTGGGGCTTTGGGGATGGCCAGCTCCGAGGAGAGTGTTTGGCTATGCTTAATGTGGTTTGCGCTATTAATTGCCGGAGTCGGAGTAAGGGACCCGAGTCTCAGTCTTCTTCAGTTGGAAAGTTAACGTTGCGCATAATTGCCATTAAAAGCGCATTTTCAATTCAAATAGGCCGCCGATCAACCCTGGCAGCACCAGGACAGCAGCGCTGCAGACAAATTGTAGCAATTTCGAAATTCCTCAAGTTTACGGTAAAGTTAAATAAAATTTAATGTGCTCTGCCCACATTAGCGAAAACTTGTCCGCGTGCGCTTAATGTCAGACACAGCCGTGACCAGAACTCCCACTCCTTGAACCACGGCAACAGATCCCAATTCTTCTTGCGCACATACACATGTATGTTTGTGTATGTACGTGCGTAAGTCTGGCTGGCTATCCCCGTCCCGCTCTCACATGTAAGCGAACGTAATATCCTGTGACTAAACGGTTTATGTTTGTTGTGCTTTCAATTTTTGGCACGCGTCTTGCAGGCACCTTTCAGTGCCTTATTCTGGGCCTGCATCCAGCTTGGTGGTGGTTGACTTTTGGTGCGTCGCTCGCTCTCTTTCTTTCCCTCTCTCTCTCTCTCTCTTTCTATGTTTATATGACTTTTTCTCTGTTTGTCTGTTTTTCTGCTGTTGGGAAAATCTGTTACAAGGCATTCGCCAGTTTCACGCATCAGCGAAGTCAAGCGACGCGATGCAGCAATTTATCAAGGTCCCTGGCAAGGACTGTAACTGGCAGCGAGTGTCCTCGACAGCAGACCAATGTGTTTGCCGAGAGTCTGTTGTTACTCAAGTATGGCCTTGCGGTCGTCTTTTTTGCTCGCTTTGTTTGTTCGTGTCAGTTGAGCACCTCTCATTTACCATTACTTGAGTAAATAGATTTCAGTGGACTCACACTTATGAGGACTGATTAATACATATGACTAACATCTTGCAGCAGATATTTAAATTTAGATTTCTGGCTTACTTAATATTCCTACTAATACGATAGATCATGTTTAATGGAGTTTTTCTTATGAATCCTGCTCATATCAAATTCTAACTGCGCAGTAAGCAGCGACTGCGCTTGGGCTGCGCCACAGTGTGAGCAATATTATGAGAATTTATTTGTTGAATAATTTAATTTCTAGACGTCCAATCTTAATGAAACTTTCAGAACTTGACCATAATGTTCAAATGTATGTACATTCCAAAGCACAAGTCTTTAGTACTTCAAATACGCCTTTTACAAAGGTGAATCTACATTTAAAATTTGAAAGCTCTAGCTCTAAAGGTGTATAGATATAAATAAATAACTAGCTTCGATAAGGTTTTTAATCGATAATAAACTATCGAGAGTATCTATATCGATTTTTCGTGATAAACTTGATATGCGCGTGATACATGGACCTAGGATACAAATTTCAAGTCTCTAGCTCTTATATCTTCTGAGATCGACGCGTTCATATATACGGACGGACGGACGGACGGACAGACAGACGGACAGGGCCAAATCGACTCAGCTTGTCGCCCTGATCAAGAATA